CCCCAAAACCCCAAAACCCCAAAACCCCAAAACCCCTATTAGTAGGTATTTCAATGAAGTTTATAAAATAAAAGTATGAAGAAGCACCTTCTAACCCCACTCTTGGTTTTCTTGCTCGTCACCGTTGCTCTTGCTGCTCATAACACTGAGGAATGGAAGAGCAGGACTATTTATCAAGTCATTACTGATAGATTTGCAAGGACCGATGGCTCCACTGACGACTCCTGTGAAGATCTGCATCATTACTGCGGTGGAACTTTCAAAGGTATTGAAAATAACTTGGATTATATCCAACAAATGGGATTCGACGCTATTTGGATCTCACCTATCCCAGAAAATTACCTGGAAGATTATCATGGATATGGAGCCTTGGATTGGTACAATGTCAACCCAAGATTTGGAGGAGCTGACGATCTTAAAAGTCTGATCAACGCTATGCATGAGAGAGATATGTGGATGATGCTTGATGTCGTAGCCAACCATGTTGCTTATATCGATATGGATTTTGAAAAGGTTACTCCTTTTGACAAGGAAGAGTACTATCATGCTAAATGCCAGATTAACAATTGGAACGACCCTAATGAAGTTGAATATTGCAGGCTTTCTAATTTACCTGATCTCGACCAAGATCATCCTTTCGTTAGGAAGACCTTGATTGACTGGGTCAAGTGGGTTATCAAAGAATTCGACATTGATGGTCTCAGAATTGATACGGTCCCTGAAGTCAAGAGAGAGTTCTGGAAAGAGTATACTGATGCTGCCGGTTGTTATGCTGTCGGAGAAATTTTCAATAGTGACACCCACTATCTTGCAAGTTATCAAGGACCTGTTCCTGCTGTGCTAAACTATCACTCCTTCTTCTTCACAAGAAACCTGTTCCAAGATGCTGGAGAGTCGATGTATCAGGTCAGAGATATTGTAAACACAGATAACGAAGTCTTTCCTGATCCAACAATTTTAGGTACTTTTGCAGATAACCATGATAATGCTAGGTACCTTTCCTTCCATGATGACTTGAAGAACTACCAGAATGTTCTTGTGTTTAACTTCTTCTTGCAAGGAATTCCTATGGTTTATTACGGAACTGAGCAAGCCTTTAAAGGAGGTGATGATCCTGCTAACAGAGAACCTCTCTGGGGTCACATGGATACCAACAGCGAAATGTACAAGTTTGTGACGAACATGGTAAAGGCTAGGAAGGATTTCAATGTTTGGGAACATCCTCACGTTGAGAGATATGTTAACCACGATATCTATGCTTTCTCTAGAGGAGAGGTACTAGTAGCTGTGACTAACACTCATAATCCATTCGGTGTTGATGTGGCTTATCTCCCAGATTCTTACAAAGAAGGGGATATCCTGTGCAACATCTTGAATTCCGAGAATGACTGCACCACTGTGTCTAATGGATCAGTCAATATTCACTTCGATGATGGAGAAGCTAAGGTCTATGTTCCACAGGCCAGACTTATTAAGGAATAATGATTGGCTTCTTTTACGTTCAGTTATTGTTTTAGGAAAAGGGGTTTTGGGGTTTTGGGGTTTTGGGGTTTTGGGGTTTTGGGG